CCACCATGTCACAAAGCTCAAATCATCTCAAACTGAATTCTTGAGCATGATACTGAGTTCACTGTAATTAAATGGCCCCCATAGTCACCAGATCTCAATCCAAAAGAACACCTTGGGATGTGATGGAAAGAGCCAACAAACGCAGCCAACAAATCTGCAGCATCTGTGAAAGATGTAGCTAATAAAGTGTGTTCCTTACCTGGGGACCTGAAGGTCCAGGCCTCGTCATCATCAAAGTGTGTATCCCCAGCAGTAAATCTCTCCCCAGGGAAAAAGGCATGTGCCACTGTGCCACCTGGCCCATCAAAGGGGTATCCATCGTTGTGGTCAGCCTTAGTGAAGTCGATTTGAATATCTGCATCACTGCCAGCTACCTCATGAAAGTTAAGGGGCGCAATATCGCTCCAGACCTTCAAGGCGTAGTACATAAGGGCTCGAACAGTGTCCCTGCCCAGTAAAGCCGAATCCTTAGGAAAGGTCCTGACTCTGTGAGAGAAAACAGAGATCACATATATGCTGAGTAAGAATGTGAAATAGATGGATCGATCTATCCACAGTATAGATCGAGTTCTTCATTTCAAACGCCACCAAACTTTTCAAGACTTTTTTTTAGATTTCTTTTCTTCTTCTTTCTTTCTTTCTTTTTTTTTTTTACAGATCATGAAGACGTTTTACAGAAATATCATTTATATCTGTCAAATACTGAAAAGTAATATAGTTTTTATGAACTCTGCTAATCAGACTAATCAAAATCTCCTTTTTGATCTTTCATGATTTACAGCAACATTTCATTACTTTTTCACTGTGGAGTCGCTGCTCTTTATAGTACTGTATAAGAAGTGCTGCATTACAAATACTCAGTTTCTCTGCCAAGATAGGCGACTCTTTTCATCCCACTTCTGGTACAGCTTTAATGTTATTGATTAGAACATTTTTCTGGGAAAGTGAACTCTCTTCTTTGAAAGAAGAACATTTTATTCTATTTTTTATGAAAGTATAGTACACTAAATCTAACTCGTGTGAGTGCTAAATGAAGCACTCTGCACTCTTTTTTTCCATCTTAAATTTAAGTTAATCCATATTTCATTTATTTATATACTTCAAAGGATATCGTACATCAATTTACATCAATAATGTGAATGTATCAAATTCTGATGAAAGGATTTGGTCCTTGGCCTTTCCTGCTTCACAGAATAACAGCAGTGAAATCTCACTACATTTATTCCAGTATAGTGTTTTTTTAGCTATATTTTGGCTGCTTTCTCAGCTGATATCAACAAACATAAAGAAGCATCATGTATTAACGTAACAGTTTTTTTTTCTTTTTTTATTACAAGGAGAAGAAAAGATATGAGATGCTTCAACATTTTGAAAGAATAAACGGCCTCATGTGTGGGGTCTATATACAGGTAAGGTATAAAGTTTCATGCTACGGTTGTGCTTAACAATTCTAAGAATGGAAAAAAAGATAAATGAACAACAAAGTTGCTGCAGTGATTTTCAAACTTGTTTTTTTTTAATGCCAGCCTTCCTCTTTTTTTTCATTGTACTTTTGTTTTTCTGAGCTTTTTGCTAATATTCCCAGCAAAACAAAGTCATTCCTGAGGCTCCATTAATATCTCTGGCAGTGCTTTTCCATTGGGTTAAACATTATTAACTCAAACATTAATGAGAATTTAGGGGCAAGTGCTTTTGCACTGGTTTAAATTAGCATATTTCTAACATAAAGTAGGCTAAATTATCCCCATCTATATTTCTCTATAGCAAGCAAACTGCAATATCAAATTGCTGCTTGCAGAGTATTCAGAGCTTAACATGAATGCTGGATGGATGTACCATTTCTACACACTATGGTGTGAAAGGTCTGTAGCTATCTTTACTCTTAGGAAAACAACTATGCCCTGTGACCCAGCAAGTACACTTTCAAAATGAATCAATATAGGAAACATATCCAACAAAGTTTGAAACTGTGACCTCATGAGAGCTTATTTTCACCCATCTTTAAAGCCTTTGGTCTCCTCAGGACCTGCTAAGTGTTTTCTGATAACTTGAGTCACAAAACCTTTCAAGTCCTTTCATCCCCACATGAGCTGGAGAAGCAGCTGTTCAGACGATTCAGATCATAGCTCACGGTCACTGGACCTTTACAGTCAGGCAACCTCCTGAACACCTGCCAGAGGAGATCACAGCAATCACAGCAGCAAGGTCTCTCTAATCCTTTAAATCACTTCTCAAGACACATGTGCAGGTTCTGTTTCAGTTTTGTTTTCATTTATCACCGCTTACCTTTTATCCAGTCTTTATTGGGACTGGTATTTTTGGTTTTGTACAATGATGGACAAGACAGTTTTAGTTCAATAAAACTTTATTTTGTAGCTGGCAACTCTACTGTTGAGTTTACACTCTGCTCTGATAGTGTTGTGTTTGGCCAAGGCTGTTTTCAGCAGCTGTTTTCAGCAAAGAAAGCTCTAAAAACCCACTACATAAACAGTAGCACTGAGATATTACAAACAGAGACTTCTTCTCAATAGCTGGTGGAGGACAAAACAGAGCTAAAAGTTGAGTATGTGGCTAGGAAGTGTAATAAACATGCCTCCTAATTAAGCACAATTTCAACCAAAAAATGGTAGCTGTATAAGTAACAAATTATTTCCTCATGAGGTTCTCAATCTTACAGTCATGACAGCTGCAATATACACAGTACAAATTCACTACAGTCCTCTATAATTAGTTCTTTAACTTCTGGGAGCAGCGTGAAAAATAGCAGACATGCTGGTTAAGAGATGCACATGGAGACTAATCTGAAGGGGACAGCTGGATCGGCTGGCTGGATGGATGGGAACGACCTGGCCAATCAGATAGCAGAAATTGCTCTTTGGCCTGTTGCCATAACTCTCTGCTAATTGTGACTGATTGACAGTTTCAATAATAAACCCAGTTTAATTGTATTCAAGTTTTTTATTGTACTATTGTGGATTAGTAGCACCATTTCTAACCCACAATACAGTCTAACATCATCAAGTTCAAAACTGATAGAAAATGAACTAAAAGATGAATAAATGAAAGCATTTGTGCTGTTACGCATGTTAATTTAGATGTATTTAAATTTTGGCGTAAACAAATCAAAGGTTTCGACTTTTTCCCCATGTTGCATCACATGCTGTGATTGGGTCATCAATGACGAAGATTCGTGGTTTAAGCATGCTTTTTTGTTGGTCCCACGTATGCATAGCGTAAAACGCTGGTTTACGGACCTCCGTCTACATGTTGTAGCGATTCACAGTGACCAGCCGCGGAGAAGAAAGAAGTTATAAAACAGCTGAAATGAATACGAGTGATAAAAAACAATGAAAAGTGCCCAATGCAGGCAAGTCTGCGCTTCTCAAGCTGTTTAAAAAAAACGTATGTCTATTCACTCTTTCCCTTTTCGCAGTGAACTCCATAGTTCTTTCCACCTTTCAACATCAGTATTTGACCTTGGTCCTTGGAGAACTGCACACAAGCACGTTTGCGTAGGCTGCATACAGTACCCATCCACAAAGCATCTGCGTAGGCAAATACCTACACAAGTGGACACAACTGCAGTACCATAAAATAGGCTTTAAGTCTCAGAGGGTTAATAGCACTGAATCTCTTTAATGATTTTTTTATACCCTTGTATAAACTAGACGGTCACTCTGAAAGTGCATCCTCATCCTCAGTCAACACCAATGTCTTGTCATTTTAAAAAAAAGTGATCCTGATTCCTTTTCTCCCTGTTTCACATTCCCACCACGTTTCATGATATCCGGTTTTGTAGTGTTTTTGTGTGATCCTGCTACTACGCGCACAAAACATATGAAAACATATATTCACCTTGGTTTGTAACTTGGCAGGGGAAAAATATCCAGTCGAGTAATAATGAATATGGAGCATGTTTATCCCTTAAGTCTAAAACAGAAACTATCACCTATAACATCACACCTCTCTGATGAAATCCCTTCGAGGATTTGACAGCTAACATTAATAGTTTCAGCCCATATCAAGAGATATTTACTCCTGATCCTCACTGCAGCGAACACTTGAGCTGCCTGTTCTGCTGTTATCACAATGCCTTTAACACATCCAGTGATGCGAATGGGTTCATTAGTGCAGCTAGTTAATGCATTAATTAGCAAATATGTCTATATCAACATGTTGTCGCAAAACACATGGTCGGCATTAACAATGTTTAAAGCAATAAGGAAATAGCAGCTTGAGAATGGGATTTTTCTTATTAATATGCAAATGTATGCAGCAAAGTCACCTCAAAATCTAATCGGATCATCTATTCTGTGGGGAAACTTGCAGTGTACAGTAGTGCAGAATTTTTCTTGCCTTGATTTATTTGGGAAAATGTGGCTGTGCAGTCCATTTGTTCATGCTGCCTGAGCATCTGAGCCTCACTGCTAACCACAGTTAGCCAAGGTCACTGCAAATGGCTCAGCCTCCACAGACAATTCACCTGCTTATTAGACCTAATTCAAACAGACGAGGGTGGGTGATTGTGTATGCCCGCGCGTTTGGGTGGATGTTTGTGAGAATGAAAGATTGGGAAGCGCGATGGTGTGTAAGTGTCCAAATATCCAAATGTGTGCGTAGCATCGAGCTGTAAGTGAGCGAGTGAGTGTGTATGGGTCTGTGTATATGTGCTAATTGCAGGTAAGTCCACCAAGGTCAGAGCGTTCCTGCCCAGCATCTCAGATGAACTGAGGAGTCTCTGGGTGATGCTTGTGTTTACATACAGTATGGTGCAAAGGGGCATAACAATGAGGCGGTTGTCATTTCTCTGTAGTGCTTCCCTTAAATATCTTTACAGATTATGGCACGGATCTGACAGCATCCCAAACATGCACCTTGATTTTAACAGCCTTATCGATTATATTTCAGTAAAGCAAATAACTTCACTCTGACGTGATGTTTATTAAACACCTTGGCATCAATAAATCCACGTCAGTGTAGGGGCTTTATGATACAGTTACAACACACCCACGCTTAACTTTACTTTTTGGAAAATTTACCTCAAACAGCCAATGGAGATTCACAGATTTTCCACCCAGGTAAAGTCATATCGGGTTAATGTATCACTTTCATTTAAATCAGAAGTGATTGGGTAGTTTGCTCAGTAGCTGTGTAAACTGACTGAGTATGTTTAGATTTTTCCTTTTACAGTAGTATGCAAAAGTCTTGAGCCACCCCTCATTTTTTTATATTTTGCTAGTGAAATGGGAAATATATGCAATGGTTTATTGACACATTTGCAGTATAGATCTTGTAATTTTTTTTTAAGTAGTCTTCAGGAATGCTTCTCCAGGCCTTCTTTGTTCTCTGCCAGGATGATCCTACACTGCTTCAGTTATTGTGTTGTGGGGAGCTGGGGAGGCCTGTCTTTGACTGATAGAGCTCCATGATGTGTTTTTTATCCAGGTATGCTTTTCCTGCAATGACAGTGTGTTTGGGATCAATAC